GTTATGGGACGCTGGGCCCGGTTCCCAGTTTGTGCCAATTTGTGAAGATATGGTTGTATCTATGGGACGCTGGACCCGGTTTCCAGCAGGTGTTGCTCCCCACCAATAGATGGAGCTTGTTTTTGTGAAAAAAAAGAAAAAAAAAGGAATTTCTGGTTTTGTCCTGAACCCCCTTGCCCAAAATCCTCGGCCACGACCCTTACTCTGATCGCCTTTCCCCACGGGTACAGGACATTGTACGGGGTGTGAGGTTGCGCATCACAGGTTAGGGTCAGGCTCCACTGGTGCTAAGTTCATCCGAGGAACGGACGAATTTGGCCGTAATAAGGCTCATACTGCCAAGCATGAACAGAGCGCCAGTGGGGCCCGCCCTTCAATAGCTGTCGTGATGTCTTAGCATCACCTGGAGCCACACATTCCACATGCGGAAAAAAAGAGAGGCCTGTCACATATTTCAACTGAACTAAAACACCTACTGAAGCCCTCTGCGGTAGCTTTACAGGCCTCAGAGGCAATTTCAAAATTCATCTCCTGTTCAGCAAGGTCCTGATGTAAAGACCACCGCCGCCTGGGGGCTCTTCTCTTCGCCTCCAATGGGTGCTAGACTGCTAGCGGCTTGAATGAATTGAACCAGGTTCAAGCAGACCAGTACATCAGAAAAACAGCCTCCTTATCATTGACAAATTCGTCACGGGTAGCATTCGTCTTAAACCACCAGTACTTGGCTCAGCTATCGGCCGCGGGAAAAAATAGAGTAGAAACGTTTCTAGTTGGATGAACTTGGGCGCTCCTGTAGTGGCCCGTACGTTTCCTAAAATCCCGTAGCGTTAACGGGCACGACTTTAGGAAGTACCGGAGGTTTAAAAGACTCTTTAACCACCAGTTCTCCCAACGCAGTGGTGGTCTTAGGGCCTCCTACACAGGCATATGCCATGGTCCCTGCTCAACACTAGCAAACCTGCTGCTTTCCTTTTGGTTGGAAGCCTGTTGATTGCAGCTTTGTCAGAGCTGTATTACCTGGCAGCGATTCTCCCTTCAACGAACAATTTTGGTCCACACGGTTTTCTTATATTGTTTGTCTTTTTTTTCAAAAGAAAAACGGAAAGGGAAAGAAAAAAGACTTCTCCAGGCACCGGCCTCTCCAAAGGGCCATCCATTCCAGCTCCCTAGCTCCTAGTAGAGTCTAAAAATAGCTGGCCAGGAATAACAAGAATGCACATACATAAGTGCAACAGGCACTTACAGCCCCACCCAAGATTCCACTCAAGTAATGGTGTAGTCCCCTTATTGGAGGCACTCTTATCATCCTCAGTACTGGGACTCCTCTGCCGGACTTTTTTTTCTTTTTCTTTCTTGAAGTTCTTTCTTTCTTTCAAAAACATGATTTCATTTTCAATATACCAGGAAGGGGGCCCCGCTTCGGGGTCGGGTCTGCCGGATGTTTCTTGTATTTAAAAAAAAGCAAAAAAAGATTCCATTCATAAGCTCCCCCCCCCCGCTTACCATGTTCATTGCCTCCATAATCTGTTGCTCATTAGTACCATGGTCAAGTTGCAGAGAGACTGGAACCTGCAGCAGGAAAGACCAGTGGTCCCAAAGAAACACAAGGAACAGAGAGAGAACAACAAGAAAAAAATGAGCATTGCAGAAGTCAGTACACAGTCGATACTGCCAGTGCCAGTGCCTGTGACTGAAGGCTGCTATAAGGAAGGGGGGTGCACTGGGGGAATAATGAGGTAGGGATGGTCAGGGTAGTCAGTCTTGTGAGGACATAGGGGGTCATGCCTTCGCAGTTTTCAATAAAAAGAAAAGCAAAACAGTACAAACTTCAAAGTAGATAGGACCAGAGTTTTTCTACATGCAGGCGGGGGGAAAAAACAAAACAGCCCGTACGGCTGAGTGGTCAACCCATGAATTACTGACAAACAGAGCTGGAGCAAGGTTCTACTAGCAAAGAGGATTGGATCAAGGCTATCAAGCACCTGAATCTGACCCCTTTTTTTTTTTTTTTTTTTTTTTTTTGGGGGGGGGGGGGGGGGGGGGGGGGGGGGGGGGGGGGGGTAACAAAATGGGGGAGGGGTAACAAAATGCCTGAATCTGCCCCTGGAGAGATGGAGAAAGCAGATCAATTGCAATTTTCTGAACTCTCCACAAACACGCCCAGGGGACTGGACCCATTAGCGAAGTATTCTACCACTTCGTTCAGGATTTCGATCACGTGTGGCCTCGAGTGACACAGTACGGCCATCGAATAGATTGGATCTCGATGGCCTGGTAGTTTCCGAGCGAGGACTTTAAAGATGCCCACCTCCTGTCCAATGAGATGCGTCGAAAAAAGAAAAAAGAAAAAAACAAAGTTGGACTAACTATAGCTCGTGGCTTTGCGTGGGCGGGAAGTCTGGATTTTATGGGCTCTAAAGGGGGGGGGTTGATTTCCAGACTTCGTTTTTTTTTTTTTTTTTGGCTCTGAGAAATAGAACTTGAAATGTGAAATTCAGATATCGTGGTGGATCTGACAGGAACGCTTCCGGGTCTGTCGGATGGCCTGTCAGAGGCATCATGAGATACATGGGGATGAATGTATCCCTATAGCCATTACTCGTTCATCCTCGTGGCTGTGTTTGTGGACACATTTTATTGCCATGGTACATCAGTATGAAGACTTACGTGAAGGAGATCGTACCAACCCATGAATTCGGGTGCACAGCTGTTCTTCATAGTTTTATTTGCTATTTCAATTCATTTTAAATCAGAAAACGATCCATTCATGCAAATAAAAAATCACTTTGTATTTTTCCAAAAAACCATAAAATTGCGTCACACATCGTAGAATACTTTGGTAGTGGGTCCAGTCCCCAGGCCTTACATCCAATCCTCTTTGTGGGCGGGACCTTGCCCCTGGGCCCAAGTTCAATGGTGCGACGCCTTTTTGGTCAATAGAAAACTAGGGCACAGTCAAGGTTTTCAGTTTTAAATGCATTTCAGTCACCGTTTCCCAAATTTTGTTCCAAAGCGAGGAAAATCGTGAATGTATCCAACCCAGCTTTAGGGTTGGGTGGGGATGTGTTGTATTCGAGGGATGCCAGAAGTGGATTTAGAACTGAAAATGTGACTGCGCCGTAGTTACCCCAAAGCCAAAACAAATGATAGAAAAAAAGCAAAGCCAATAGTGCCAAACATTCTACTGTTAGCATAATTTGCAACAACCCTTCAGGAACCATACACGAGATCCGTCTCCTGTACGATAGATTGGAGCATCTTTCCTGGGGAAAAAAAGCATGTTATTGAACCACCAGCACGTTTCCCAGCCAGTTATGCAGCCGCGTCTGGCGGGATGAACCGGCATGCCAGTTTGCAGCTCCTCACCAATGGAACGGAGCCATCATGATGCGGAAAGGGAGGGGCGTCTGCTCTTATCAGCACCTCCACCATCCCCGCCGCCAATTTGTTTGGAAAAAAAAAAGAAAAAAAAAGGGACGTACCGGTGGTTTAAGGGACGCTGGACCCATAGATTGGACCAAACCTAAAAAAGGGCCCCACTACTTGAGGATGCTCTTATCACCTCTAGCAGTGGTCCCCACAGGCTCTTTTTTACCCCTTTAACATGTTCTGACGCTGTCTGAGAGAGATTCACAGTGTGGTGCATCCACCACCAGAAAGAACAAAAATGGCAGCCATCCCACTAACACTCTGACGTCACTTATGCCAGGGCATCCTTCCGCTGGAAAGGCAAAGGCAATGATGCCTCACCACGATGTAGGGCACCGCTTCGTCATTGAACTATCTACCCCATTGGCACTGTCGGCCTCGGTGCGTATGGGGTAGAGAGTTCATGTTGTTCAGCCCTTTTTCGGCTGGCGCCCCCAGCCATTTTGCTCCGATAGGTGAACCCCCAAAACTCATGGTGCATGCACAGCTGCATCGGAGAAAAATGGCTGGGAAAAGTACTGGTGGCTGAAACAGAATCAAGGTTGGATTGGATGTCAACCTGTGGAAACAGATGATTTTACACATCTTTTTTTTTTTTTTTTTTTTTTTT